GTAGGGAAACCTCATTCAGTATCCTGCTGGCATTTGTAATTGTGCTAATAAGAAAGAAAAAAAACAGCCTGGGAATGAAACTGTCTACATGTCATTTGTACCAGCAGGTTATTATAGCAACAGTTACGTGTTACAGTTCGCCAACCTCTAGCGACAGTAGTAATTATGACAGGAACAAAGGAGGAAGTTAGGTGGCGTAGTATATAGAGCTTTCTGTACATGCTAGGTCTATGTTAGGGGGAAATATGTTTAAATATGGTTGTGTGTTTGCCATCCATGGCGGTTACGCTATATGAAGTGCTTCTTACTCTGACCATGACAACAAAAGTTATTATAAAACCAAACCACAGTCCTTTTCTAAATCTATCCAACTAGTTTTTGTTTTTAAACCTAATGAAACAATGAAACATACTGGTGGTGCATAATCTGTGTCAAAGCACCTGAACCCATTATTTTTTATTTTACCAGCATTGATGCACAACTAAATAACATTCGCTCCTTTGATTGAAAACACTTGTTGTAGTGTAGTTAAAATAAACAATGACCGATCAGGGACAAGCAGCATTGTACCAGTGAGGTTTTGGAACACACGCTATTCTTTGCTAAATGTATAATTCATTGAACCGGAGGGTATTTTGAGCATCATTCATCATCATTGAGCCTATGAATGACATAATATGTGGGCATTTGCAATGTTTGAGGGATCACAAACCATATTTCAAGCACTACTCAGTTTGCAACTCAACATTTGAGACCATGCAGACACAGATTTGGAAGTGCAAATACAGATTTAAGAGCATAATCCAGGCCGTGTGTGCTCTCATTTCTGATTCTGCACTGTTAGGTTTCTTCACTGCGGTTTATGTGAAAGTGCACAAAACAAGATGCGAGCGCTATTCAGTTTGCAAATCGGACATTGGGATTACAAGAACGAATTTGTAAGAGCAAAATCAGATTTAAGCGCGAAGGAGGACCCTTGCTGATCACTCAAATCATCTGTGACGCTTATGATTCTGTCCTTCCTCACTCTTTATAGATGCTGGCCATCCTGTGTTAATGTCAGAGATATTTAATAATAATAACATCACAAACATACATAAAATGCCCTAAGGACAAAAATGCCCCCTTCCCAAAAAACAGCTGTAAAATTATCATAAATTCATGTTTTTCACTTTAAACTAGTCATTTTTTTAAAACTACTTCTGCCTGAAATATACATATCAAATATAAAATATATTTTTTGGGATTTTTAACCCTTTATAGTCCAGTATGTTTACATAACTCCACTGTTTTTTTATGGGAAAAAAAACAAAAACTGATATTTTTCCCATAAAAATGCATTTCAACCAGTAGGCCCTGAGATGGGTCAATGATTGGCAGCAACATAGATTTTGATGATTTTTTTCTTTTTTTTTGCAGTGCACACTTACAAAAAAACATCCAAAAACAGCTGTATTATTACCCTGTTGTGTTCTAAAAATAAATAAAAAATTCAAATTCAAGATAAGTTTGAACCAGGAGAGCAATTATTTTACAAACATGAACACAGAATTATGAACACTGAATGTGAAAGACTGTCTCTCTTTTCAGCTCAGGCACAGCAGTGGCTGAAAATAGTCAGACAGTGGTCCTTGCACAGATATTTTTTACATTTGCAACAAATGTTGCCAGCCTGCTTTTTTTCTTTGCAGAAGAAACATTGCTTTCTGCCCTTTGTTTTTGAGGGGCCTGCAGCGGGACCCCACAAATCTGCCATGACACCTGCAGCACCTGGTGTGCGGGGAAGGCGCTCTCTCTGCAGGATGTGGGCCCTCACCAATGTCTCTCCCACCTGCTCAATAAAGAGCTTCCTCTGGTAGGACTTGTTTTGATTCCAGCATGGCTGGATCACTGTCCACAGGATGTAGGAGTTGAAGAGGGAGACATCCAGGGTGTTGTGGAACAGCGCCAGTGGCCACCTGTTCACTCTCGTCCTGCATGAGTAGGTGCTGACAACCTAACAAAAAACCCAAAATATAAAACAAGACAATATGAATAAATGAGCAAAGTATTCTTTCTCATAATACACATTTATTTTAATATTTTATATGAAAATGCTCATATGAAAAAAATAGACATATTTTAGACAACATAAGAGTAAGACGACAACTGGCTTGTTTCGCCAGTTGTCGCTTTTGCCGACCAGTGCCAGTTTCTTTTTGAGCAGCAGCTCTGCCAGTCCGAAAAATGTGAAAAATTATCACACATGATTGTGTGTCCACAGAGCCCCTCAGTTAACTCCAGGATCACCTTGCCCTGGTTCACCTCAGGAGTACAGGCTGTTTTCCCCGTATAGATTTGTAGCCTCCAGGTGTATGAAGTCTATGCATCGCACATTGCCCAGGTCTTTAGGCCATATTTGGTCGGCTTTTTCGGCATATATTGCCAGAACTTGCACCTCCCTTTGAACGGGACCAGCTGCTCATCCACGCAGATGTCCTGATCTGGGTTGAACAGCATCGGGAGCTGGTGCGTCCACAAATCCCACACCTGCCTGAAGGCAGCCAGTTTGTCATCGCTGCACCGGGATTGGGACAGCTTGTCATCAAAGCGTAGCATTCGTCCGATTTGGCCAAAACGCTTCTCGGACATAGTGGCCCTGACGATGCTCCACCCGGATTGCTCATTCCACAGGTTGAGTGTGGACTCATCTCTCAACCTGTATACGCCCGACAGAATGAGAAGCCCTACACAGGCTTGCAGCTCTTCTTTGTCTAAATCTTGCCAGCTCCCAGTCGATCTTCTCCCATGCAAGTTAGTCATTGTGAAAATATGCTGCATTATTTCCTCTGTCAGCAGAGGTTTAAAGCTGGACTCGGGGTCGATGATGTGGGCTGCAGCATAATGTGTGGATCCCTGGACCAAACCTGTGATGCACAGGACTTAATGAATTGTCTACAAATTTGTGAAAGCCCAGAGGATCTGCCCATTTTTCGACATCCAGCCTTGCGCCTCTGGTTCCTCTATCTCCCCCCCGATGTCATGTTTGGATAACTCTTCTGTGGAGTCAGGCATCTCGTCTGGTTCGAACTCTAAGTTTGACCCAGAGGAGGTCTCAGAGTCCTCAGAAGAGGATGAAGCACCATCCTTGCTCCCAATCGCTATCACTTCATCTAGTGCCTCCAGTGTGGTGTACCTTCTCACCAATTCCAAACTATTACTCCAACTGACTACTCCTGCACTACTGATCTCATACTTATAACTGTGGCTGCAGTGCACCTGCATAAACAACATGAACAAGAACCAAAACAAAGTCCTGTTCTGCCTGGGTTCTTGCTTCTCATCTTGAATTATTTGTGCGACCTTTTAAGACAAGTCGGACACACACATGTGCACAAACGCACGCAGACAAACACACACAACTCATGGAGTGTGCATTATGCAGATCAAGCGGAGAGGAAAGGGTGCGCTTGCGGAGTCGGTCCTGCACGAATGGACATGTTTTTACTTTTGCTTCTGATCTAGCTTATAAAACACAGATTATGGTCTTCTAAGAAAAAAGACTTGTGAAGTTGGTTGTTTTACACCGTGAGAAATGCAGGCGCGCATGCACACGTTCATACACGAGCGAACACATTTACGTCAATTCACACATTGCATCACTATAACCTCAAAGGTGATACACATTTTATCATTTTTAGCCATTATTAGCAAGGCACCCTTGCAAAAAACAATGAAAAAAAGTGAAATTTTGATGAAATTGACCCTAGGGTCTGAAAATGGTCTCGCATCACCATCTGCTGGACAACTATAAGAATTGCAAGTTAGGACCCATTAGTTCAAAATGCATTTCTAACATCGTGCATCACAGTACTCTATATTAGATTAAATTTGGAATCAAAAAAGCATTTTTAATAGTTTTAAATGGGGACAAATTTTTCCCCAGGTCCTTTTATGGATGTAATTTTGTATCTTTGCCATTTTAGGCTGATTTAAGGAAGTAAAACCTCAATTTCTAATAGGAACTGGATGAGACAGAGGCAGAGCAGGTACTAGGCGGGACAAAGGCTGAGCAGGTTCTGGATGGGAAAGGCAGACTTCGTTGAACTGACAGGAGACGAGGTAGGCTGGCAGTGCGAAACTGGAGACAAGGTAGTGCTGGGGAAGAAGCAGGCAGGTAGTGTGGTGTTGGGGATGAAGCAGGTAGTCAACGCAGTTCTGACAGAATGTGAGTGGAGTACCTGGGAGTGCAGAGCTGGAGAATGGAAAACTGGCGAGTGCACAGCCAGGAATGGAGAGCAGGAGCAGAGAACTAGAATTGCAAGGATATGGAGAACTGGCAAATGCAGAGCCAAAGAGTCAGGTAGTGTGTCAGGAAGCAGGTCGGAGAGCAGGTGAGTGTAGACATGTGTGACGAACCAGCGGGAAATGAACGGGAAGAGGGTGTATATATGGGAGCTGAATTTGGAGGTAATCAGTGGCAGGTGGAGATGATGATGAGTGATTATGCTGGTGGAGACGTGATGCCACCTGCAGCTGTGTTTCAGTAAGTTCAAGCTGAAAGACAACTGCCCCGCTAACTCATCATGATTCTGGGTGGAGACTCAGGGCTGATTATCCACTAATTATCACCATCATTATCCAGTATTTACACTGGGAGTAATAAGCATTAACTAAACGTTAAATAATACAATAATAAGCACTGCATTCAACAACTTAAATGTCTCTTGGTAATAGTCTTAGTAAATTGTCAATAAAGATATTAACATTTATTTCACGAAGTTCACAGCTTAGCAGTTTCATTAGGAGAAGGCTGTTTTAATGTTCATTTAAGCATAATAATTGTCCACTTACTTGTCCATCCTCCAACCAACGAATTCACTTTGTCCTCACTCCACCTTCATCTAAGGTGGTATCTTCCAGCTTCTGATTGAACACACATGATGCAGGTATGCAGCAGTGGACAGGGCATGGATAGTTGGAAAGCATGCACGGTGGTAGCTCTCGAAGACCTGATTTGCCCACCCCTGCTGTATACTGTAAGCATTACTTGTAATTATGCATTTATTAATGCTCTTTAAAAATGTATCAGTGGTGAATAACCATTACTTAACCTTAATTAACCATTTGTTAATGCTCTTTGTGACGTGACGCTTATTGTAAAGTGAGAAACATGTATGCATGAACACTTCATAAATGTATCAGTGGTGAATAACCATTACTTAACCTTTAACCATTTGTTAATGCTCTCTGTGACGCTTATTGTAAAGTGGGAACCATATATGCATGAACTAACACTTCATAAATGTATCAGTGGTGAATAACCATTACTTAACCTTAATTAACCATTTGTTAATGCTCTGTGACCCTGTAAAGTCTAAAACATGTATTTATTAAGGAACACTTCATAAATGCATATAATTGCTACAAAATAATTTTAACTAATCAGGTACTACTGCTGTGTGTGACCCTTGAATATTTGAAGCAATCACGCAGATACTGAACATTAGTGAAACACTTCCAAATGGAATTTAACTCGTCATAAGCATCTGTCATCAACATGATTCATTCCAAATTTAAAAGGATGAAGACTTCATGCAAAATCGTTATATTTTAAAAATGTAACACTTAACATTCTTTCAAAGGAATAACAAAACAGGGATTTTACAGTTTCACCAAAAAAAAAAAAAAACGAACTCTTCCTCATGTCCCTTGCATCTTATTTTGAACAAAATCTTCATGTAAAGCCTATAAAACCATTAAAAACACCACCAAAAACAAATGCCTGAACATGGCAGTGAGGGCTTTAATGCTTTCTTATGGGCAGAAGCTCTTTATTCTCCTTCATCTGCTTTATGGTCTCTGAGGTTGCTTTGTCGGCCTCGACAGCTTCCTTGCATTGTTTTGCAATGTCAGAAAGCTTGCTCCCCTTCACCTGTTTAACAAGCTGTGCATACTTTTCTGGAGCAGCAATTGCCAACTCGGCAATTTCAGAGGTTTGTGAAATTGTGTTGCGATCCACTCCAAACTTGTTGAATGCCTCAGCCATTGTCTTGCCCTTTTGGAAGATGCCCAGCACTGTCTAAAAACAAACAAAAAAACCAAACAAAAAATGGAATGAGAATAAATTCATTGGAATAATGTATGGTAGACACATATCAGCTTAAATGAAGACCCTGGGAAGTGACAACACTAGGCTTTGGTACTGAGGTCCAGTTTCAAACTATCTGGAACCAATATGATCAGTACTGATGGGGGCTTGTACATCCAAAATACAAGTTTCTCTACAAGATTCCCCACATCATTGTCCTGACACTAACTCATTCACTTGAAGCATTATTTGATCCAAATTTTTATATACTTTATACGAGGTCTCCTAATTTGTAATGCTTAAGATTACTGGGTTACTGTAGGTGGCAAGTGACAGTAGGTGCTGGTACAAAAATAAATGGTGATTAAACCAGCTAACAGTATGTGGAGGTCATTTGTACACAACTTTTAAAATCACATACTGCAGGAAGACTGATGCAAGTCAACGTCCAGCTGCTATGACTTGGTTTAGATTTAGAGGTTCTGTCAAACATATAGCCCACCTACAACCATTATGTTCTGTCAGTGTTGAATCTCAATGTTGGCAATCTCTGACAGTGTTACCTCTCTCTCTTTTACACCACATCCTAGGATATACCTTTTTTTAATAATCCAAACTTTTTTTTCTAAAATGACTTGATTTAAAAACAAAATATACTTCACATACCCCGCTGACG